AAGTGTGGCGTCAGGATTGGTGGAAGATCTATTAACAATCTGCGTTATGCAGATGACACAACCGTACTTGCTGAAACTGAGGAGGACCTGAACTGCTTGCTGCAGAGGGTCAAGGACTGCAGCCTTCAGGATGGATTGAAGCTCAATGTCAAGAAAACAAGGATTCTCACCACTGGACCAATTGGCAGCATCAGGATGGATGATGAAGAGATTGAGATTGTTAACAACTTTTAGTCTCCTCGGCTCTACGGTCAACACTCTTGGCACCAGTAACCAGGAAATAAAAAAACTAATTGTGATGGGAAAGTCTGCTGTTAGGGACCTCTCCAGGGTACTGAAGAACAATGGAGTCACTATGGAGACTAAGGTGCATCTGACACAGGCTATGGTCTTTGCAATCACTTGTTATGCATCAGAGAGTTGGACAATGACTAAAGAGGATATAAGGAGAATTGATGCTTTTGAACTGTGGTGCTGGAGAAGAGTATTGAATGTATCTTGGACTGCCAAGAAAACAAACAGATTCATACTGGAGAGGGTTAAACCAGGCTGCTCCTTGGAGGCAAGGATTCTGAGGCTTTGACATACTTTGGACATGTTGTAAGGAGGGACAGGTCCTTGGAGAGAGACATCATGCTTGGGAGAGTGGAGGGACAGCGCAGGCAGGGAAGACCCTCTATGAGGTGGATTGATTCAGTGACTAGGGTAATTGGGATGGGAGTGTCAGAGGCAGTGAGATTGGCATAGGATAGAGCAGAGTTTAGGGCTGTTGTACATAGAGTCGCTATGAGTCGCAAGCGACTCGACAGCACATAACAACAACAACAACAACAACAGTGTTTCCTTGCTTTGTTCACAAAATAGCCTCTTAGTCTAGGTATAGATTTCACATAAGGACAATTAAGTGTTCTAGGATTCTCTTTCTTCTCAATATTAGCTATAATTTATTGTGATCCACACAGTCAAATGCCTTCTCATAATCCACAATGCACAAATGGATATCTTTCTTGTACTCTTTACTTTCATCCAGGAGCCATCTAATTTTTCTACCATGAATAAAATCGCTAGTGCCACAGCCTCTTCTAAATCTAGCTTGAATATCTGGCAGTTCACTGCCTAAGCACTGTTCTAGCCATTTTTAAATGATCTTCAGCCGTATTTTTTTGCATGTGATACTAATGATATTTGATGATTTCCACATTCTGATGGATCACCTTTCTTGGGAATGGAACCACATATGTGTCTCTCTTCTAGTCAGTAGGTGTCAGGCAGCTGTCCTCCAATTTTCTGGCATAGACTGGTAAGCACATCCAGAGCGACATGCGTCATTCAAATCGTGTTAATAGTAATGGAAATTATCTTTCTCTAGGTTGAGATTTGAAGACTCATACCAGAAACGTGTTCCAAAACTATAAGCTCTAGGGACTCCTGGAAATTTACCAGGTCATTGTTGTTGTGTGTCTTTGAATGGGAATCAGTTCATAACTGACCCTGCAGTGGATTCTCAGAGACTGTAAATCACAAAGGAGAAAATTGCTTATCTTTCTCCAGCAGAATATCTGATGGATTTGAATCACCTGCCTTTTAGTTGGCAGCATATCTCCTTGCCACTAGGTGCTATGTAGCATAGACAATAATCCTTCCATGGGTAGAGAGGGAAGATTGGACATATGAGTATGCCTCAACCCAGGAAAAACAACACTTATCACATATATTTTTGAGTCATTAGCTAGGAATAGTCATAACAATGTTATGTTATAGCAACGGATCTTGAGTTAGAAGCATATATCATTCAAAAAGTTACAGTTACTGCCGTCAAGTCAGTCCCAACACACAACAAGCCTCCATTGAGTTTCTGAGTCTTTAAATAGTAACAGAAGAGAATTGTTTCTCTTTTTCTCACAGAACAGCTAGTGTATTTGAACTTCCAGAGGCACCACCTTTTTGGTCAGCAGTGTAACTTCTTATATATAGTACTTCACAGAGCTCTCCAGAAGTATGTTGTTGTTGTTGTCATGTGCCGTCGAGTCGCTTGCGACTCATAGCGACCCTATGTACAACAGCCCTAAACTCCACTCTGTCCTGTGCCAATCGCACTGTCTCCGACACT